CTTGTAACTAACAATTTTGGTATGAGACGTTTTTAAGAACCCATATTTGGCTGGGTTTAACAAAATTAGTGATAGGAAGTGTTTAACCTTCTTTCATTTTTTATAGTTCTTTCCATTCCTCTCGAAGTAAGCAATCTGTGGTTTATTAGGCTTTAAATTTCAGAGTCCTCTTTTAAGCTAGTTTTATGCCCAGGCTGATAACACGGAGTTTCTACTGGTTCGGGAATATTCCCAAGATATTTAATGGTATAAACCATACAACCTGGCCGCCAAATTTTACTAACTAGGTTTGTAGACAATCAGGATTGGAATACAACGAAGACCGTAGAATATCAACTCGGGTCTAAAGGTTTTCACAACTGGATTTAATTGTTTAAAAGGTTTCGGAATACTGGCAGCTAGTGTTGACGATTCAGTTGCTCCTCCTTTGTTGGTTCATCCAGCCTTCCAAGCTCAGTAAATAACTGAACTACACTGTGTTCATTTTGTCAATTTCACCTAAGTCGCTAAGCTTGAGCGTGATGTTTGAGGTAGCAAACAAAGTGGAACATGATCCACCCCGGTTTACTGCATTCCAAATTGCGTTCATTTTGATTCAGCCTGAACGACAAGTTGCTGGTGCATGTGATGAAGACGCGCAGTGCCCACCCTGGCTTTCAACGCTAATATTGATTCTGACTAAACAAATCACAAGTACTTTTCTCTTTTATGTTTGTAGCGAATCGCTACGTTGTGCTGGTATTATCGCAATGCACAACTACTTGCCGATATCACTGTTTATATGTTTACTCTTGAGTAATATGCCAGTTCGGCTTGCAAGTGAATTTCGGGTTCTAAGTCTGTTATATTATTTAGTTAGGGTCATTCGGTACAATTCTAGCTCTTCCAAGCAGCTACCCACATATTTTATTATAAATTATAATTAAAAAATGCGATGGGCTGGGCATGTGCGCCCATAAATCATCGATCTTTTGACTACCGCACCTCATAGTCTTTTACATCTGCAAACAACAGCTAACTACATGCGATTATTCATATGCCTTTGTGCTAGAGCTTACTACGATCATCCTAATCTCATTATGCAAAACCGATGTGCAAATACGTGACTAGTTACGCGCACCGATTCAAGCTCTAAGCCGATTCTACTAATGCGGCTAACTCAGAACACACAATCGATAGGGAGGAATAATTTTGGTATTTAATGAGACGCGAATGCTTGATCCACACGGGTAAAACTTAATCAAGAAGTAATTAAACAAAACACTTGTGTGATGCACGGTGAGTGTGCAATATGCAGGAGAGTTCGTCCCTGAGAATGCAAATCATTCTCGGTTTTAAATCTGCCAACAGGGGTGGCACACAAGGAAAAAGGAAGTTAATTTTGGGCATTAAATGGTTACAGTGCGGAACGAATGGAGAGGGTGGAAAAGTGGAGACACATTAGGCCATTTAGGTTGGCCCTATTATTGTAGTGTGTTCTCTCCCCTCATTTGCTTCGCTCTCCAAGCTGATAACCAAGGTAAGCATGCGACTGGTTCATTGGTCAATTACCAATAAACCATCTAAACCAACTTACATTTGCAACAAATCACCCTTATTTTGCTGCTGGTATGTTAGAATGCTTACCGATGACCCTCTGGAAAGTAACGTATCATGACCAGCCACTAAATGTTGTCCGTGACTCCTTTCTGCTCATTAGGTAGTCGCTTAACAAGACTCTGTACCCGAAACGAATAAGGCAACGAAGGTACCAATGACAGAATACAATTTGTTTTCTAACTCGATATTCACAGTCGTATCATCTACTATAACCGTCCAATTCATCATTAAACATTTCGACAATCCCTACCCGTCGAGACCCCGTAGCCAAATCAGTAGGTGTTTGGAAATTATTTCAATCCTTCCGAGTTCGAGGCCTGCCATCTCCACCTGGTGCTATCAAATGAGGTCGACAAGGCGGAGTGTAGTATTTTCGGTCGAACAGCAACTGATTTCCAACTGCTTCGCTTGCAATCCCAGTGATAACATTGACCAAGGTTCACTTCATTGTGAATCGCCGTATACGTGGAGATTGCCCTTTGCAATTCCATCGCATAACGGTTGTTTCAAAAGGACCCTCTCACTACCGTAACTTGGTTCTGTACTCCTAGTTTACCGGGTTATTTCATGTCAAGTTCTAGTGCTGCCATAACTGACACTTATATTCTGAATTCGGTCGCGCCATTGTGAATGCAAATGTTGACATGACTGACTACGCCATTACTTAACAAACAGTTGGCTAATGCCAACAGCTGTTGTGTCTCCGGGGACCATATTCTCTTAGCTTAAACAGCACTAGATGGTCAAGATACGTACATCAAGATGTTTCCTGTACTCATTTATACAGGTGAGTGCTTGCCTTACAGATCCAGAACCATGGTAAGGTGGGTTCACTGCTCCATCTCTGGTCCAAAGACAAATTAAAACAATGTGTGTTACTGTCCGTGCTTACAGTTTACGTCGGTATCCTCGTTCGTACCATGATTCAGATTCAGCTATGTGGTACCATTATATCGCTTTTACTACAGCTAGTGAATTGATCAAGGTATCCAAATACAGGTGTGGCGTTTAGTGGTCTGTTTAACTGCCATAAAATGCCACCAAATTCCAAGTGTACCTACCATTTTCTAACAATGATGCCTCATTAAGTTTAAGTAACTGGTCTATTTGATTTGCTCAATTTCGTCAACAAATCAACTGCTTACAACGGTTTACTGCAACCTAGTTTCCTACTGGAAGGTAGTTTAGTTCCATTTTCGCATATTCCACAATTCCGGTCAACTGTGGGTCTGGTGTTTACCGGATAGTAACGTTTATGACCTGACGAATTATCTCGCAACATCCGGAGTTTGACTGGGTGCGTTCTGTGTCTCAAATTAAAAGGTCTGATAGTACGGGCTGTCAATCACTCGATTTGCAGTGATGAGGCTACTGAATTGGTTCGGTTAATATGGAACAAATATAGGCTGATTGGCACTCCTAGATGTTTCAGTCGATAAAGTATTCAAGTCTATATATTTAATGTCGCTCTACTTGTCTTCATAAATTTCTCTGTTCTAAGTGAAAGCCAATGGTTTGACATCGAGCGTGGCCCAGTTAAATAGCGCAGTAATTATGGTGAATATGAGTATCTCGTACAAATATCTCTGTTATTGATTCTATTTCAATTTGCAGCAAATGGTCAAAGTCATTCGTTAACAGCTCGCGCTTCGAAGTTTATACTTGCTACTAGATGTTTACAAATGTGAAACGATTTCTGACATAACTTTTATTTCCATGATTTCTATACAATCTTACCTTAGACTAGACAAACATGAAAAGTCTCTGTTTTAAGCAGAGTAGCGAATGCAAACTAGTCAATTGCATTTGTCTAAATTTAACCCGCTTAGCTTTTCCGGAATAAAACCAAAACCAAAATCTCCAGCTAAATATTTTGGTACCTCTTGTTGCCCTAGTTAGGTTTATCCTGAACCTACACTGATATCTCTTGTTACCTGTGTGTTAACCCACGACTTATATCACCTGCTAATCGGAACACATTTTACTTGTATGAAAGAGCTCATACTTGTGTGAATTGTGAGAAAATGCGCATTCACATCCGACAGACTGAAGCTGAATTTGATGAGTCATAGAAATAAAGATCAATCCAGAACTGGTTCTGAGGAGTAGAGGGCTGATCAGAGCTTATGAATTGCTCAGTTTAGTGAAATATATGTCTAGCTTCAAGCACTTTTTTGACAATTCCTATATGTAGTGCGGATTTACAATCATCAGAAGGCTAGCTGTCTTATTGTTGTTGGAAAAAATAGCTACATCTCTAACTCCACTTGTATTTATGCACCATGATATGCACATACCACTGGCAGAGGGAGCGCACTAAGACGAAATATGGCACGTACCATGTGTAGATGCTAAGGTGTCATTAGCAACGTTTCGCTCTGGCCGTTTATTGGCACAAGCTCAGTAATCAGGGCGCGCATCCACTGCCAGTCGGTGCACAACATCGTGAATTCCATTTCTTTTTGTACACAGTAACATAGCCAAAGCCGTCAGAATGAGGCAACCGGAACCGATTCAGTGGCCTACGCTGAATCATTTCTTGGGAATAAATATACATAGACCACAATACGAACCGCTCATCTGGCCTCTTCTTATGCACTGAGTTGCCTGCTAGCATTAAGCATAGAAATGGGTTGCTTTCCTCACGTGAAGTTTGTATTGGCAATTTGGTTGGATGCATTTGTCTGAGTTTAGTGCAGCTAGTAATTCTTGATCTGAGGACCTTCGGTTTCGGAACTTACCATTCGAAATAATTTAAGCGCATATTATCCACCAGCGGTGAAACTTAGGCTAACAGAAGTTCTAATTTTACCTTTTAAACAGAAGTGCCTTGGTCAGTTATGCGTTGGATGCGGCGCTTCCACTTGTATACCTGAAGTCGGCGCTGGATAGAGACGGAGGATTGGCACCGCTCCCCTTCGACAATTTATTTCCTTTTCATCCATCAACGCCGCGAATACACTACTAACAATAAAACCATTCAGTTACATCTCTAACCCCTAAATGTCCCGTTGAGCTGAGGGCAAAACATGTGTGAGATATTTGGAGCAATGATTGACACAAATTTGCTCCATGTGTTGCAATACACTAACGATATGCACATCTGCATATCATCTGATTGATAGCATGCTCTGTTCGGTGGTGTACGCGTTAAGTGTGAATAGCAAACACGTGAATGTACTTAGCGGATCCAGCGTTTCACATGACTGTCGCGGGTTTTATTTCAACTGATTTACAGTATTGATCTAGTTGGGGATCTGGCTGATGTAACAAGACACTGCGGTGCGACATGGAGATCCTTAATTTTCTTTGCAGCAGATCCGTACAGACATTTGTATTAAGTCAAAGGAGTATTTATCTTCCGTCGTCGAATTGCTCATCTATTTTCTTTCGCTTTGCAGATAAAAATACGGAACTGGTTCCGCATGCTCAAACAGTGAGTCCGAGTCCGTTGCTGCATAAAAGCTTTTTCAGTCAATATTTTGATGCCGACCACAGCACTTTTCTTGGTCTTATGTGCATTCTGAATGCATTGCTCATATATGTACTTTAATGTGCTTTGTTTGGAGTATTACTTAACGGAAACCAGTAATGTCAGACGTCGCAGCTGATATTTTCTTTAAAGCACACTCCTTTCATTCGGCCACTTGTTTGGATACTTTCTGTACTTCAATGTATGTTACGATTATCGGCAAAAGTCAAGACCTTGTTTTACGTCGGCCGGTGGCCGAGTGGTCTGCGCGCCTGGTTTGCAACCAAGAGGTCACGAGTCCGAAGCCGCGGAGGATTAGTCGTCCTCGCGTAGGTGGTGACCGCGTGGCGGCGAAGCGCCGTTACGGCATACAGTTAGCAGTTGCTTCACATATACTATTATGCAAGTAGGTTGACATGAAAAATCACTTGCGATGGAGACGTCCCGTTCTCCTATATTATTGTGAGACCAACTCGTCCCAATAGGCAGTAAAGATTTCCGTGTAAAGCCGTGGTGGATTACAAGTTAGGAGGACATGTTGTCTGTTCCATATGAATTACACTGTTAGGCTCAAATTAGGCAGCGATTGCGTGACACTTCAGTAACGAAGGCTTAAGTCATGTTGGCAGTTGCTCATTCTCGCATTCACCAACCTAATCCCACTGGTCACTTTACATGATCGGCTGATAAAAATAATAACTTGAGCCTAACGCAGATATTCGAGTCCACTGTGTTCAGCAACACCAATTTAAACTATACTGTTCTCTCAATACCCTTGTGGATCACGCAACAAATAACTATTAGCTTTGTTATGATTTTCATGAGGTCAGTGTAACACACGGCTACGGGAGCTAGTACTCCAAATGTCAGTGGCATTATCCATTTAATAGTCAGTCTCAAATGGTGTTGCTTAAGTGCTTCGAGAGCGGCATTAACTCTGCCGCCAATCTCACCATTACGGTCGCTTCATGTGTCCGTAGATTTCGCGTTGGAACCGTTTATAAAGTAGAAAAGAAACAAACCCATCGGTCTTCGCAAGCGGCATACGTCTAACGTAAGCAGTTCGATACCTGTTTCCAGTGGTTTTCTACTGGGTAGCTGCAGAACTCTGAGTTACTGAATGACTAATGCGGGTTAAAAAGTAATCTCCGTGGTAGACTGATACTGGGGCGATTAATATAACAAGATAAAAGTGTGTCACATCTACTGCATAGAGAATACAGAGCCAGCAGCCTGGAAATGCATCGACCAATGCCAAAGCAAGCTGATGGTAAGTACGCAGGTTGAATTGATAGTATAAATAATGCGGATGGACATGCACAAAACTCTAGCGCCGAGCAAAAATCAATGCCCGGTATAAAATTAACTTGAGTTCCTTGATTAAAAACGTTCGATCGCCGCTCAGAGTTTTTATTTTCCGAAGGCGTTAACCGTGATCATGCACCGAATGGTGTAGTTTGTCTACACTACGCCTGATTCAGTGCAATCCAATAAAGGCAGTTGCTGATGTCTCTGAGTACGACAAAATAACAAACGGCAGCTCATGTTTTTGCCCAACGGGTGATCTCCGCATTCACTGCAATACTACACGAAATATCACTTATGCTATCCTGGCGGGCCGGAGTCTTTGAACCACTATTACTTGCATATTTCTCGCTCACTATCAGTTGACCAGATTTAATGCGGATTCGCGATTTCACAGTTCGCTCCACTTTTCACAAAAGTCAAGCCGAAATATTGGCCAATCACTTCGTCTTGTTACTGGTCAACAAAAGTCAGACTGAGCTGAAAAGGCACAAGTGTTCTGAATGTTATAAAACCATAATTGCTTGTGCTTTTTGTGTTATAGTAAGCTTTCGCCCTTGATTCAAGTGCTTCTTCAGATCTGAAAAAGCATACTGTATTCAAATAGAAATCTTGTTGTTAAAACACAGCACTCTCACACACTTGGTGTATTTTTGTGTAGCGAAATGACGACCCGAATCACCCAATGGTACTTAAAGCCTGGTTACCGGATAAAATGTATCTGTAAACGTTTTACTGACATATTTCATTCCGGCTTGCCGTAGCATGTTAACTTGATGTCTCCATCAGCTAGCCTACTGCGGTAATATCATTTCTAAACAGCGAATTCACACAATCCGTAACAGTAGGGAAACGTTTATTGATACTAACTGATGCTGCGCGACAGTGTACATGCGAATTGATGTCTATGTTTACACAGCCTCAGTTTTTGATCTCCTTAAGGTTACAATCAACACGGATACACTAATGCTAACCACTCATTGCACTCTGGTAGCTAAGTGGGATATTAAGGAGATAACTGATCAAGGAATTTCTTATCTATCATTTGATCAATCATTAAAGTCTATTTTCGAAGATATAAATACAAACCGTTTGGATGGAGAGTCGATCAAGTGGCTATTGGGAATGGAATATGGTGACCAAATTAAAGTTTGCTGCTATGTTGAGAGATGACATAAGGCTTGAGTCTGGCGAGGCAAAATGTCGACTAAGAAACCGTCATTTCGAAGCATTCTGATATAAGCGCATTCTTACACCCAATATCAATATGCACTTCAGATGACTGGGTCCCAGGAACTGGTTCTGAAAACAAATTAAGGCTCAGTTTACTCATCTTAAAACTCCACATTCCACTTTCACTCTGTACACCTGTGAGCTCATCAGACAGGGACCATAGCACTGGAACTCGAAATTGTGACATTGGTATCCCGACCCAAGGTTTTACACCATCGTCACTTAATCACAGTCAACCTTTGGCATAGAGGCCATTGACTGTGGGTTTGTTGAGTTCTGTACTAATTAACATATTCGAAGCAATGTGCGTGCGAATTCGGCCTCCTAATAACCTAATGCCCATGCCTATTAAATGTCCAAAGTCTGGTTTTAAACTGTACGTGATATTTTTGCATTACGACCTGCAGTCTACATTGGGAGACCGGTCCACCTTGAAGCTGTGCTCGGTCATTCCGATTGTTAAAATGTATCCGACATAGAGTGGATTCGGTGTTGCTCACTCCTAACACTGTGCCATGTAGAGTTCACCATGGGTCTCAAACCAATTGGCATATAGCAGTATATCCCAATTATTCGGTAAAATTAGATAGTTTATTTAAAACTAGTCGGAACACACTTGAACTCGTGTTTTTATGTGACTCGATTTCCTAGTTAGTCGACCACTGCTAAACGTTTAGATAACTTCGAGTCCAATAAAAGCACCTTAGGTTTTCCGACACAATTATCCTGACACGCCGCTCCAAAATAATCATCCATTGTTAACATAAACCTGGTAATCAGGAAGGGTATCGCCCGAACAAATTCCAACTGTTGATTATGCGGTAGTTACTGCAGACATCCCGTTTTATGCTACATGTGGCAATAGTAAGGTGTAAATGACTGTATTCGCTTCATTCAACTGTTCACAGCGCTGTGAACTAAGCAGTAGTTCAGATCGATATTGTGTGCCGCATTCCAACCGCCCAATGAGAGCGCAACATCGTAATAATGCATCATGATTAGTGCTACATAAGCTCAGTAAATATCTCTTAACGTTTAACTACTGTTATGTAAAACAGTAGTAAACTTCTTTCAGGTAGCTAATCCACCAGAACCGCTGTCTGGTAAATTCTTCGCTTTGTGAGCGGAAACCAACATAAGACGATGAATTTATGCACATTAGTGACTCATTTCAGAATGCTGAACAAACAGGGAAAAAGAACCATGTCTTTCTGGAACAACAAAGTATACGGTTGGGTCCCACGTAACAGTAATGAGCAAACAAGGAAGGGACAGTTGTTTCGCAGCATGCAGTTCATACTCTCCCAAGGTAATCTTCCAAGCGCTTAGTCAAGATTGTTGTAGATCTGACATCTACTTTTTGTAGTTCACGATGAGCATTTGAGTTAGAGTTCCTTAGTCAAGGTTTGTTACATATACTAAATCCCTGTGAATACTAGTAATACTCGTTCATTCTCCTGAGCACTAGAATCGAGTCGATATGATATGCTAGTTACCATTGGCGGGGAAGTAATGTGGAAAGGCGCAGTAGACAGTAGATGGAAATGCAGGTCATTTAAATGGAGGATACTACCAGCCAGTGAAAAAATCATAGAATATAACATCAGAGTAGAAATACGGATTTGGTCAGGGAATTCAGCATACAATCCTTGGCAACTGTGATGTTTTATGCTACAGATTTTATCCCCAAAATCCTAGTCGACTTCTAATCCGACTCATCCAGCTCACAAATCCTGCAGCTTTGAACGATCGAGGAATTATGAATAATTTAATGCCCTTCACCGATGGCCCCTGTTTTGCAGAGGCTAACATGTGCCCACTTCCGCACATTTTCAGTATATGGATCAATGAAACCATGGAACAATGGTTTTTAGACAGGTAGAAAAGCTAATGCCTAACGGGTCTCGTAGGATGGTTATGGTGAAACTTCAAAATAAAAAATTGTTGTTAGTAAAATTGGGTTTACACCGCTGAACTCACTGAAGTCTACGTAGTGTAAGCTGTAAATCCATAAGGAATGACGGCAAATGAGATGTTGGTACAAAACCAGTCTCCTACTGGTGTACACATATAGGAGGTGAAAACGTGGAACGATATCTGGGATTAGACCGCCAGTGAAATCTCTTACACTTATGTTTGTCAATGGATCATGAGTCATGTATGCTGGTGCAGGGAAATAAGTGCACGGTCAACTCGGGCTGTGAATTCTGCCAGCTTGGACGAACATAAGACAGATTCCGGAAGGGCATTGCAGGTACAGCAAATGCGTGCGGAAAAGAAATGCTGATAGAATTCTAAACGACTTTGGTGCTTCATCAGCTTTAGTTGGTGACCTCTCAACTTGCTTTCGTGACTGAGATCTAGCAAGTAGCAGCACGCGTGATTGGGATCTCGAAAAATCTGGTATGTCAAACTGAGGTCCCAGC